AATCGTCCATCGTCGCACATCATCGCACATCATCGCATGGCCACCGCCGCTCACCATTGCCTCGACGACCACCACCGCCATTGATGTCACCATCGTAAACCAGCAACCATTCTCTTCTTATCTCACATTACGATCCACCATTGGAGCACTACCCCCAAGTATGTCCTTCATATTTCGCTCTCTCTGTCTCTCTCTGTGTGTATCTTTGTATCTCTATCTCTATTCCCCCAATTTCGGCCTCTAGGGTTTTTTTCGCATACCTTCAAGCAAACCCACCCCCAAATCGACCCACCCACTTTCACACCTTCTGCACTTTCTGCTTCAGCAATCTGATTGTGGATGTCTCTTCTCTTCTTACTAGTGATTATTAATTGTCCATGGTGCAAATTCCAATCTCCGACCTCAATATTTTCTCGCCATTATATCTCTATTTTGAACAACACCTCATGATCTGGATCCCCTATTCGATTGCCTCCAATCATACATGATTTTCTCGAGCCTGGCATTGTCAATGTTAGGTAATTAAAGTAATGTTGTGCTTGATTTCATTTGTATTTTGCTGTTATAAATTCGATTCTAGTTAGCTTTTTTGTTTCATTCTTTGCTAATTAGAAGTTTATGATCTAATTAGACAAAAGATAAAGTTCTATTCTAGTTAGCATTTTTTGTTTAATTCTTTGTTTGATAGTTAGATGAAGTCTTATGATCTAATTAGACAAATTGATGCGTTTTCGTTTCATGTTGATATATCCATCTTAGTTCAGATTCAAAGATAATTCGATTCTAGTTTTTTTTGTATTTATTTTTTAATTCTCTGCTAATTAGTTTTTGTTTGATCGTTAGATGAGAAGTGTTATGATTTAATTAGACAAATTGTTGTGCATTCGTTTCATGTTGATGCATGCATCTTAGTTCAAATTCAATCTGCTTTCGCACCTTTGTTTGATCTTATTATTATTATTATTATTATTATTATTATTATTATTATTATTATTATTATTATTATTATTATTATTATTATTATTATTATTATTATTATTATTATTATTATTATTATTATTATTATTATTATTATTATTATTATTATTATTATTATTATTATTATTATTATTATTATTATTATTATTATTATTATTATTATTATTATTATTATTATTATTATTATTATTATTATTATTATTATTATTATTATTATTATTATTATTATTATTATTATTATTATTATTATTATTATTATTATTATTATTATTATTATTATTATTATTATTATTATTATTATTATTATTATTATTATTATTATTATTATTATTATTATTATTATTATTATTATTATTATTATTATTATTATTATTATTATTATTATTATTATTATTATTATTATTATTATTATTATTATTATTATTATTATTATTATTATTATTATTATTATTATTATTATTATTATTATTATTATTATTATTATTATTATTATTATTATTATTATTATTATTATTATTATTATTATTATTATTATTATTATTATTATTATTATTATTATTATTATTATTATTATTATTATTATTATTATTATTATTATTATTATTATTATTATTATTATTATTATTATTATTATTATTATTATTATTATTATTATTATTATTATTATTATTATTATTATTATTATTATTATTATTATTATTATTATTATTATTATTATTATTATTATTATTATTATTATTATTATTATTATTATTATTATTATTATTATTATTATTATTATTATTATTATTATTATTATTATTATTATTATTATTATTATTATTATTATTATTATTATTATTATTATTATTATTATTATTATTATTATTATTATTATTATTATTATTATTATTATTATTATTATTATTATTATTATTATTATTATTATTATTATTATTATTATTATTATTATTATTATTATTATTATTATTATTATTATTATTATTATTATTATTATTATTATTATTATTATTATTATTATTATTATTATTATTATTATTATTATTATTATTATTATTATTATTATTATTATTATTATTATTATTATTATTATTATTATTATTATTATTATTATTATTATTATTATTATTATTATTATTATTATTAAGAATCAACAAATAATTTTTCCCTTTAAATTATCTCAAGTTTAAGTTTGAAATTAAAAGAAACCTAATCAATTGCTACATTGGGAGCAGAGTTCCACAACGAGTAAACCAACGCCCAAGCATACCAAATTAATACTCCCCCCCACCTTAGAAGAATGCTTGACCTAGAAGGGCCTCTCTCCCACTCCCCCATTCAGCAAACCCTCTTGCGATTAGGGTGCTTAATCCCCCGAATATGGTAAGCTCTTGATCTCTTTGTACATATAAATATATATATATCGATTTCTATGTTATTTGTTTATTAAAGTTTGATTGCTTTTTAGAAGCATTGTTTTCTCATGAATTTTCTTTCTTCGCAGGCTGATTCTCCTCGAAAACGGTAATACACTCGTACTCTTACCCATGTATATGAATTTTTCGTATATGATTTGTTGGGACTTTTGATTCATGGACATGATCTTGCCTCTCTTTAATTGAAGATTGAATTTTTTTAATATATTTATATATATTTCTCTTCATTTCTCATACAAAGAACAACGGTTTAAGGCTGGTGATATGACATTCAGGACATTTGAAGGACTTCTAGGTTCTGCTAACTATATTTTAAGAGGAATGCAATGAAAATGATCTATTTTGGGTATATTTGGGTTGTTTTGTTTTTTTTAATAAACAATTTAGAATTGAGAAAAAGCTTGAAATCCCTAAAATCTCAACCTTAAATTTACCACAATGATGTGGATTGCAACATGGATTCTGTTGATTCTTGTAAAATTAAATACCTTTGTCAGAATGCGTGCCACGTAATTGTGGGTGACTTTATGGGTCTCAAGCAAGACTCTTGATTTATCTATGTTTTGGGTGATGGGACATTTGAACATTTCTCTAATATGTGCTTGCGGACTATCAGATATAGGGGACTCCCCTAAAAAAAGGGCCCCTATTCTAAGAGAAGTAGCATAAGTGTTTTTTTTTTTTTGAATGTTGTTGATCCTTGTGCTAGATTACAACTTAGAGATCAGATGTTTAAATTTGTTGCTTCTTATTTATTGTAGCATAGGAATAGGGTAAAAAAAAAAGTTTTGGTTTCTACTTGGCGTGCTTGAAGCCTTAATTTTGTTGCTATTCTCTTGAATAGAGTTTATGTGTTTGTTTGTTTGTGTGGGGTTTCGAGATTTGTTCTTTCATTTGAAGAATGATTGATAGGTTGTGTAGACATATGCTGGGAACTCATTTTTTGGAACTCGGTTATTTGAGGGATCAAAAACTTAGGATAGTGACAGGCTTTTTTTACTATTTTTTCATTCTTGCTTGGAAAAAATAGATAAATAATATGGAACCATCAAATGCTGCATGACTGCATGTGGCATTTAGTGAACAACTATATTGTTTGGGTCTAGAGATATATGAAGCAAAGGAAACCCTGGTTCCTGATGATTAGTTGGTGTTAAGACACGAAGGTCACAGTTAAAAGTGCAAGTGTTTCGGCTTTGTGAATGCAGGGTTTTTTTTTTCTCTTTTAAAAAGTTAGCCACCTCTCTAGGTGCAGTCCAATTTCTTTGTCAAAACAGTAAAAATGTTAGTTATGGCATTTGCTTTGGTGAGTGAATTAGCATAGGATTTGATGAACCTGACAAGTAATAAATAAATGCATCAGTTCAAAAGCATGAATGCAAGATGATTTGGTTGAAACTTAAGAGGGTTCATGGGTTATCAAATGGTTCGAGATGCAAATGAATGCAAGATGATTTGGTAGTTTGTGATTGCGGCTTACTCTTTTTTCAGGATTTGTCAGTTATCAAATGGTTCGAGATGCAAATGAAGGTATATTTATCTATTATAGCATTTAATCATGGACTCATTTTAATATTTGGGTCTCAGGACATTTACTGTTTTTATTGATTACAATTTTTCTTCATCATCTAACGTGTGGCATTAAAGACATTTCCTGAGTTCCAATCTTGTAGCATATAACACTTCATATGCTCATTTGTACTTGTTCCTGCTTCAGTGACTCATGCAGCCACACAGCTCTTGATTAAGGAATAGTGGTTCTGATTGAGATTTAATAATTGCTGCTGATTATAGTTGAAAGTAGTCACCAACTTGATGCATTATAATTTTGTGAAACTAAATGAAAAGAAATACCATTGTCCTTGAAGTTTGTTTTATTCCAATAGGTGTGTTTTAATATTTCAAATGAATTTTTATTGGTGGAGATTCATTGGTGGAATCTTTTGGGTAGAATTATGGATGGCAATTAAATCCAAACCCAATGGAAACCCACCCTGCCCCGCTATTATTAGAGTGGATTTCCCCAAATTCCCCCCCAATGATTAACTGTTTTTCTTCTCTCATTCAATATTAACAGTACTTGTCTTGAGGCTTTCTTAGGCATTGGGGGTTGTTTTACCCACTCTGTTTTTCCTATTAATATAGTTTGTTATAGAATGTAAGATATTCTTTTTAAAAAGGGAAAAAAAAGAGATAAAAAGAAAGGAAATGGAGCGCTAGGTGTACCAATATGGATGTGACAGTTGGGCATTTGGGATGACAGGAGTGATATGGGTTTCATTGATAAAATGGGATAAAGGTCTTCCAAGAAGATGGAGATTACCAACACAAGAAGCTGCCTGGGATTAATGTCCAAAACAAATGTATTGCTAGCATTCCTTTTAAAAATTTCTTGGTTTACATCTCCTTAGAGTAGTTGATATGTCAGGGATTCTTACATACAATGGGCATATATAAAGGACTTCCCCTAAGGATTTTCTTCTTTGATGTTTACACATCAGGAAAAGACCAAGAACAGTTTGGTTTTCCTAATATCTTTTACCAGAATGTTGATAATTTTGGGTGGGGAATGCATTATTGTCCCATCAGCTGCCTATTCCTTTTGATCGATCACAGGAGTTGAAATCAATCCAGCTGCTCTGTAAATTTCTACGGATGGTGTAAAGAGGGCAGAGCTTCTTAAGATCAGTTTTTCCTTGCAGATGGTACTAATGCTACAAAATTGATTCATCTATATTTCAAATTTAATTTTTCATCACATGCCAGCTTCTTTATCATTCTAAACTATAGCCACCTTACATGCTCAGAAGATTTAGATGCTGATCTCAAAATTGTTTATACTTTCATAAATAATTGAATTGTTAGAAGTGTTGTAGATTGTGAATATGACTTATCAATGTTTTTGGAAGAACATTGATCTAGGGTTCAAGTCTTTGCGAAATCTGTATTATTCATTCTTTGAAACATGGCGAAACGATGCAACATGTAGTACTCAATTTCTTAGAATTCTACTTCCTGATTGATTGCTAGTTTCCATTAAAAGGACAATATTGGAGTGATGAGCTGATAGTATCTTGCAAGAACTGAACTGTCAAGGGTCGCCCCACTTGTTGACAGTTCCAAGGGAGGATCGGCATAAGGTGTGTGGCTGTTTTGGGCCAGTCACCACTGCCCCTTCATTATTCTCTTCATCCTTCATGTTTGGTAAGCTTGTTGAACATTTACTTCCAAGTATATAACATAAGGTCTTGCTAGCAGTCCTTCAATTAACCCCGCATTTGTTTCTCTTCTTTACAGAGCTTGCTGAAGAGGCAAATAGGCTTGTGAACTAAGGTTGTCTCTTCTCCTTTTTTGTGTTATCTTGTTGTTGCACACTGTAGTATTAAAGTAGCTGGATAGACTATTGTTTTACATAGTGTTGTCTTCATTTTGGTTGCATTCATTGTATAAACTAACAAATCACGGCAGCAATATATGATTACTCTTCAATGCCCTTAAAGTTTATATTTGATGTAATAGGCATGAGTTAAAGACAAACCTTCTATAATCATGCTGTGTAGTCATAACATATGAGTTAATTTAAAGGTTTGAACTGTCAGATGGTTAGGTTTCCTGATTAGGCACTTTGAAAATACCAATTTGTTAATGGCATTTTCAAAAAAGGTTCCAGATATGACTATTTATCTTGTTTAACCAATTTGTCCTTGTTTATTCATGCATGAACTTCATTTTAGGCACAATTTGTAAAAATACTAAGATGTCTAACCATACTTAATGATGCTAATACATAGACATTTCTCCATGTTATATCACTTATCTCTAACTACTTTAAAGGCTAACATGACTTTGATTTCTGCAGTGGAAGCTCTTGGTGAAATAGCTGAACAACTGGGTAAAAAAGGCTGGAATTTCAATTTGAAACATTGTGACAAAAACTTGAATTGGCAAACACCAATACTGGACTCTTCCCTTATGTATGACTGTACTGTCAATTGCACCTGCCTTTCTGATGATGAATGTCACATCAGTGCCATGTATGTTCCTTTTTATGTTTTTAAATATACTTATTATTCAACTCAATTTTTTGCTTAAAATGTTATTTATGATTTTTTTATTTTATTTATTTTTAAATTAGGAGGCAATGATGTTTGAATACTAGCCTATGCTCTGTATGTTAAACTTATTAATGTCAGTTGAAAGTCCAAATTCTGTTTTGTATAGATGAAAAAAAGAGTAATGTGCTGAGAAAACCCTGGTATTGTTCTGTCACTTCTTATTTACACGACACAACCGGTTGCCATGAACATCTATTCATATATTGCTAATTACTAGGATTCTTGGGAAAATTAAGGTCGTATTTTGATGTCCCATAGAAAGGGAACGACTGCCAACAGTACTCATAGTAATTCAAAGTGGAAATCTGATATTTTGAGTATGCAAAGTGACAAGAATAAATGGCAGCCAATCTACAAATGAAATTCAAAATAACGAATATTGTCATGTACTAAAAGAACATAAATATGATCACTTTCAAGATAAATGAGCGAATTTTTTGTTCTTCATTAGGTGACCTCATTTTAGTAACAGTTGATTGAACTTTCACTTCTCATACCATAAAATGTTTGGTAGGTGCGTTCGAATTCAGTTCAGAAATGTTAAATGTCCAACACACCAGAGGCACCAATACACATCTATAATTAGGCATGTAAGGATGTATGTCCTCTAATTACTTTGAGTTTTTCATGTTTTGTGCTTTTAATTATTTGTTGTTATACATTGTTGGTTTTTGAAAAATTGAATTCTGTAATTATTTATTTTCATGGAGATGACTCTCTTAGGTAATATATTGTATACAAATCTCTAATTCAAGAATGAATAATTGATTGCTTGAAGAATTTTGCTGGGCTGCTGCTGCTGCAATGTTGCTGTGAAGCGGGCTGCTACTAGATGCTGGTCTGATGCAAAGTTAGGTTGTTGTTAGTTTCATATTTTCATTTTGTTATCTGCTGTTTTTACTATAGGTTCACAATTTGGATGTATTTGAGTATTTTAGTGGGTTTACCCTTTTAGGTTTTATACAACGCTTCCAAAAGCATATTTTTCGGCAGTGTTTTTTTGCCTACACATCAACTTTAGGTGATTTAATATCAATGTTATTAGTTTGTAATAGTAGTGCCTGAGGGATGCCTCTTGTAAATATGTAAATCTTATAAAAAAATATATATGATTTTCAATTTTTTTTTGCCGTTACAAATTTGTCGTTGTCAAAAAGTAAAGCTTTCTCGACAAACAACTTGTTGGTAAATGTGTAGCGAAAAGTTTATTTTTGCCCACTCATATTATGTTGCTAACAATGCCAATTTGTTGTTGTTGCCAAAAGTAAAGTTTTATCGACAACCAAATCATTGGCAAATGGCAACATTTACCGACGTAAATGTGTCGCTAAAAGTTTACTTTTGTCCACTCATATTGTGTTGGCAGAAGTGTATTTTTTGCCAATGCCAATTTGTCGTTGCCAAAAGTAAAGCTTTAGCGACAAACAAATCGTCGGCAAATGGTAACATTTACCGACGTAAATGTATCGCCAAAAGTTTACTTTTGCCGACGCATATGTTGTTGCTAAAAGTATATTTTTTGCCCATGCAAATTTGTGTCGCGAAAAGTGCCACACAATTATCATATTTGAATGACTTTTACCGACGCAAGGTAAATTGCCGACGATAGATGAAGGCTTTTACCGACGACTATGTTCGTCACTAAAGGCATTACTTTTACCACCGCAATGATAATTTCGTTGGCAAAAACTTTTGCCGACTCACTTTTGCCTACGGGTTGCCAACGTAGCTTTGTGTGTCGGCAAAACTCTTTGCCAACGAATTTTCCCTTTTAGCAACATATTTTGTTGCGATGCAAAAAATGCAATTTCTTGTAGTGGGTGGAATAGTAAAATTGTACAAATTGTTAATGATAATGATGAGGATGTGGGTGGTTTTTTTGTTTTTAAGTGATTTGAGTCTTTTTTTTAGATTTTTAATTCTATTGTTGTCATTGTTTTTATTTTTTTTGTCAATTGGTATGAATGTTCACATTTTACATTATTTGAAAGCTTGAGAAATAAGTGTTGAAATATAGATATGGACATAATTATAGATTTTGCAATATGTAAATGTTCACCTATTACTGGTTATTTGTTACCATACTTATTGTTCGAATAATCATTTTTTGTTACCATTAAACAATTGAAATAGTAATTTTTTTTCTTTCAATTTTGTTTCATATTACAATGTGAATGTTCACATTGGTATGAATTTGGTTTTTCTAAAGTTAGTTGTATGTTAATTGTAAAATTATGAACATTCACATTGTATTTTGATGTGAAATTTTTTTTTTTAAATTTTTTTTCGAAAGTTAGTTGTATATTATTATTATTATTTTTACTATGCTTGGTGGTTGAACAATCATTTTTGTTACCATTAAACAATCATTTTTGTTGCTATTGAACAATTGAAATAGTCTATTTACTTTTTTTAATTTTATTTTATATTTTCACGTTGTAGTGTGAATGTTCACATTGATATGAGATTATTTTTTTAAACTAGTTGTATATTATTTGTAAATTGTGAACATTCATATTGCATTTTAGTGCAAATTTTTTTTTTAAAAGTTAATTGTATGTTTGTTATTTTTGTTACTATGCTTGTTAGTTGAATAATCATTCTTGTTATCATTGAACAATTGAAATAATCGATTTTTACTTTTTTTAATTTTGTTTTGTGTTTTCACGTTGCAGTGTAAATGTTTATATTAGTATGAGTTATTTTTTTAAGGCTAATTGTATGTTAATTATAAATTGCGAACATTTACATTGTATTTTAGTATGGATTTTATTTTTTCGAAAGTTAGTTGTTTATTGTGAATAACCGCATTGTACTTTAGTACGTATTTTATTTTTTCAAAAGTTAATTGTATATTTGTTGTTTACTATGAACATTCACATTATATTTTCATTTTTATTTTGATTTTTTGTTGCATTATTTTTAAATTTTTCAAATTATAAAAACGTTCAAAATTCGTAATTTGAGATTTTCTCAATGGAATGCGAGAGATATTTTCTTCTTAAAATAAGAGAGAGATTTTCTATATGGAATAAGGGAAAGATTTTCTCTTTAGAATGAGAGAGAGCTTTTCTCTATAAAATGAGGGATTATTGTTATGTATTAGTCTCAAAATAGAAACATGGTCAAAAAATTAGAAATAATGATTTTGTCATATTATATTAAACAGAACTTAATGGAAAAAGAATATGGATTAGATGAAATAAAACACTTAAAAAGAGAATTTATCAAAAAATGATCCAAAAAATAAAATTGAGCTAAAATTATATATTTTTATTAATAATTTTAGTTAATAGAGATTAGTTTTATTAAATTTAATTTATGCATAATTTTTTTTAATTTTTTTTATACATTTAATATTTTAATTAATAATAAAATATTTGATATGACAAATTAATACAATACAAATCGGACTGGAAAAAAAAATGAAAAATTACTCATAAATCTCATTTGAAAAATCATTTGGAAAAATGTTCATCCATTTAATCATACATGTTTTTTTATAAACCAATTAATCCTTTTTATTTGTAATATGTATTATTAATTTGATATCGTAATATTAGAGTTTACTTATTTGCCCTTATTTGAGATTTGGTTTTGATGTTTTTTTTTTTTGGATTTGGGTGTATGTGGGTAAGGTATGGTTTAATATTTTCATTTTTTTAGGGATTTTGTGGAGTGATTGTCAGAATTGTTGATGTTACCTACTTGGTATTACATTATTAATGTTATCCTCCCATTAGCCCCAACAATACTAACATTGCAAGAGATCCAAACAATCATAACAACAATACATAAAAACAATGCATTGGTTACATTATATACATGCACATCATCACATTTGCAATCACTGGTAACCCCTACACCTGCGGAAATAATAACATTATACGAGACCCAACTAATCATAGAAACATTAACTAAAACACCATGCGCCTGTCACATTATGTACACGTACAACATCACATTTGGTGTCACTGGTAACCCCCAAAACCACGATGTTAATATCACCTAAAACCCTACATTACGCACCATTTAAACAATATCCCATTTCGAACATTGACCTTGATGTCGTATTATTCTACAAACAACTAAAGTAATATCGAAGACACCCATACCTGTTGTTATCTCATCAATAAACGATCAATGTTGTCGCCGACGAATTGATGTGAAATCATTGATATTGCGCCGACAACATTACTCACACTCCTAGATGTCTTAGTACCCACGTCGTTTCACCTCTGTAAATTTGCTAGAAGGGATTTTTGGATTTGCTAGGATTTTGAAGGGGTTTTGTAATGTTATTTGGCGAATAAAAAATGCTAGGTACAACGCTGCCAAATCCATTGTCTAACTCACACAAAATGAGAATCAACACTATAATATCTACAAAGAAAAATTGAAATTCCAATTTTTGAGCTTCCATTTTGTTTGCAATGGAGGAAAAAAGAAAAAATTGCTATAGTCTACTTTTGGGAGTTTTGGTAACTAAAACATTATCTAAACACCCAATTTATCCATCTAAACACCAAATCCAAGCATTACATTCGTAGGCTTAAGTGTAAATAATATTAACTTGGAACTTTCTAATCTGTAAAATAAATTACAAGATTATATAATTCAAACTATCTAAACTTAAAATTTATTGGTATTTTTTCAAAAAAAAAATGACAGAGACGTGATAAATGAAAATACAAACCAACAAATAAAAAATAAAAAAAAGTCAACATTCAAAAATTGACCATTGCAAAACCGCAAATGTTCAACGTGTATAGTACAACACAACCCTCATTTAATGAGACGTGTCCTCACTTTT